ACCTTGAAAATATGGTTGTGCTGTATGTGGTGCTTTACAGTCAGTCAAAGAGTTAACTTTACTTCAAGATATTGATTAGAGCTTGCTATTCCACTTACAACTTCCTGGTATAACTCATTGTGAGAGACACTCTACAAAGCAACCAGTTGCAGATATATCTGGTTTTGTACTTGATAAGAGCTGTAAGCATATATGCTCAAAGTGCCATGATAGCTTGCAAGAACAAAGAAATCCTCACATAGCCTTAGCTAATGGTCTTTGGATTGGTCAAGTTCCACTGCAACTACAAGGCTTATCATGGACTGAGCAGCTGCTTATAGCCAAGGTGATCAAAAACTATTGTGTTGTAAGAGTATCCAAGTCAAAAATGCATAAAATGCGAGCAAATGCTGTATGCCATGCTGTATCTATGCTCAAAATTCTTTCAGTCTTACCACCAAAGCATGAAGATTTTGATGATGTATTGGCATTCTTGTATATTAGTTCAACTAAGCTTACACTGAGGATTGCAAGCGTACACCATTTTTAATCAGGCATAACTATGTGTTAGCTGCATTGGAGCAGCTTAAGCTTAATCACTGTGACTATATGGATGTTGAAATCTCTAAAGACAATATGGCAGAGTATCCAGGAGATGTTTCACCTGTCAATGTAGATTATCATGCAGCACAGACTACAAAAGATGCAGAAGCCATAGCTGTAAATGATAATGAGGAAGAGAATGGAACAAGTGAAGGAAACTGCACATTTACTGTCCAGGCCTTGACTTCTGATCAGCTTACTGATCTGCTCAACTGAGATGAGTATGGAACTATCAGAAACAAGGCTTTAAAACACTTCAAACAAGGTGGAAAGGCATTGGCTACTGTATCCAATCAGGTACCGGACTGGACCAGAAAGTGGACCACCCCGCAATATTTTGTGGATAGCACAGACATATATGAGCATGATACTGAAATCGACTGTAGAATATCATTTATATGAGCTTCATCTACTATGATATCAGGTTTTACAACTATCTGACATGAGCCAGGTGAGATCGAGGCTGAATTCGTGTGCCGTATCTGCAAATTGCCTGTTTTGGATTGCCTTTTGTGCGTGCGCAAGCAACCTCATCTTCTCTACCCACCCAACTACCATGCCCACACCTCCAATATCTTGTCTGCTCCTAGGCCCAATATCTATCTATGGATTCCGGTCATTTTGAATGTCTGTTCCAGGCGTTCAGTTTGGCTAGAAGCCATCTGTTCTGAGATGGTGGCCCAGAGGCTCCCAAAAACATGCCCCAAAGATATGCGCACCTATACAGCACCCCTCGAACCTGCCCCACGAGACTGCACACATCATTTTTAAATGCCAAAAGCTTCTGCTTCCTAATGTTTTTATATTTTTAGGAATTAAACCCTATTGCCAGCTGCACTATCTTTCTGTGGCTTCCTATTTCCACTTTCGGGAAGATACCGTAGTACAAGTGATCAAACGGCGCTTGATGGTTTGCTGTGCACCCAAAACAACAGGATTAGGACTATAAAGGGTTTTGCCTGCTTTGGGAGTTGGTTCAGAGGTGACTGGTGTAGTGGAGGTGATGATATTCATCAAAAATGTGGCCCCTTAGTATGTGCTTGCCATCTGAGACACTGGAATGGCTTTCTCCTCTCCTCTGTACTGCTCTACCAGTTAGAAAGTGTTCAAATGAAGGCAGCAGTCAGTGCAGCCTCCCCTCATACTCTTCCTGTGATGAGAGCTAGCTAGACACCATCTTGCATTTGGATGCTGGAGCTCTTCTTGCCTTCTAACCCTAGTTGCATGCCTTACATTCTGTTGCTGCTCAGCCTGCTATATATTTAAGTGCTCAGAATATCATATATTGCAACTTTTCCTATTCTGATAACTTTCAATAATAAACAGCAAAGTATATTATGAGCTTGCTGCCCAATCGTACCTCAAAAATGGTCCAGCATGCAGTCCGGCACCTATCCCCATACCAGGTGGTCCGCTTCTTGGTCAAACCAGTTTCCTGCACTGCAAGTAGGAAAATATTCATACCACATTTTGTACTCATTGTAAAAATACTGGAGCTTAATTTATATAAAGACAGTACAGATACCTATCAACTGGGCCTATAAACTGCTTGATTTTGGCTGCATGGCAGGGTGCAAACCCATCAGTATGCTAGACTGGTTCACTTCCTGAGCGCTTACAGTATTGCTCATAAGAAAGATCCAGAGAGTTTGTATGATGATCCTCAGTTATATCCACAGATGTTCCTTTGGCTCTTTCCATATTGTCTAGGTGGCCTTGGCAATAACAGAAGTCAGCAAGCTGTATCTGAGACATTGCATAAGAAGTATTTACTTATGTACCATGATAAGAGATTTCAAATGAATCCATACTTTCCTTTGATTGCCTTCAATTATGAGCAGATTAAGAAGGCTACTACTAGAGGTTTTCTGCTGGCTAACAAGGATAACTTTGACCAAATCTCTACTCGTCTACTCAACACTAAGGACTCTGTGCTTACACAAATGATTGAGAAGCTTGAGAAAGGCCTTGTAAAGACTGATAACTTGACACCAGAGCAGCAAGAGTGTTACAAGATTATTAATAATATAGACTACATTAGAGCACATGTGCCTGCATCTAGAACAAACCATAAGCACATGAGAAACCAGATTTGGTTCTTGACATCATATCATAGTGCTCCAAGTTGGTTTATTACATATGCTCCTGCAGATATTAAACATCCAATCGCCATCTACCTTGCAAATACCAGTGAGAGAATTTTCCCTGCCAGACTATCAGAGAATGAATGCTTTAGGCTTATAGCAAATAATCCTGTAGCTGGAGCTTGATTTTTCAAGGTTATAACTGAGGCTTTCATCAAACATGTGCTTGGTTATAACAGTAAGCATGCAGGATTGTATGGCAAGACAGCTAGATATTATGGAACTGTTGAACAGCAAGGTAAATTGACTCTACATATGCACATGCTTATATGGATCAAGCACTCTTTAACTCCTCAAGAAATTAGAGATAAAATCATGGACTCAGAGTCAGAGTTCCAGAGAAGAATGGTGGCATACTTGGAAAGTGTGCATATAGGCGAATTTATTGGCAAGACCATGACAGAGGTAGCCGATGATCTTGAGATGGAGAAAGCAAAGAACCCTTCCAGACAGAATCCTACAACTACCTTGCCTAAATTTATACCTTCTCCATGTGGTGATGACTGCCAACAACTGTGTACAACCTGTCAATCAAGTATGTCATGGTGGAAACAGTTCACTAAGACAGTGAATAAGCTGCTCTTCTTGACCAATGTGCACTCCTGTAACAAAGACTGTAAGAACAATAAGTATGGTACTTGCAAAAGCAGATTTCCTTGTCCAATTCTGCTAGAAACTCAGGTAGACCCAGAGACAGAAGCTCTGAACTTGAAGAAAGGAGAAGCCATGCTTAATAATTTTTCACCTGTGCTTACTTATCTTATGAGATGCAATATATGAGAGAAATTTGAACTTTTTTATCACAGAAAATATGCAAAAAAAGCTTGAAAAAATAAGTAAGAAAAGGCCGTATTTTTTTGCTCAGTATCCGGCAGTCCGGTAACTCAGCAATCCGGCAGTCAAGTCAATTATCTGCCGGATGCCGCTGTTCCCTGGGCACTTTGACAAACAGTCTGATGGACAGTCGACTCAGCTGCCGAGTTACACCAGATACCAAGAAAAAATACGATATTTTCTTACTTATTTTTACAAGCTGTTTTTGCATATTTTTGTAACAAAAAAGTTTCAAATTTCTCTGGTGATACTGATATCACAAGCTTACTATCTGGCACAGCTATCAAGTCTGTTGTAGCTTATGTTACAGACTATATTACCAAGTCACCACTGAAGACACACCATGCTTGAAGCTGTGAAGAGAATATTTGCCAAAGAGTCAGAGATGCTAGCTGGGCAAAATAATGGAGTGGTCAAAGCCAGAAAGGTCCTCACACAGTTTGTAAACTCTCTGACTTCACAAAGTGAAATTGGCGGCCCTATGGCATGCATGTATCTGCTAGATTATCCAGACCATTATACCAGCAACTTATTCCAAAGATTCTATTGGAGATCATACGTGAATGAGGTCGGGAAAGAAGAAAGTGCCAGTCAGAAGTGTTCAATCTGGGAGGTAAACTCGACCAGAAGAGTGCTCGAGACCACAGCTCGAGAATCCGTACCGCTCCAGCATATCGAGGATGTACTGGCGCTGTGACAGATGAATGCGGCAACTCGAATGGTCTCTGGTGATTGGATGCCCAGGAGGAACAATGTGAAACCAAGATCGTGCAGTTTGAAGTGCTGAGACAACTCCTGCATGACCCGGTCAGACTCTGCAGCATTGGTTGAAGCAATGGTAATGTTGTCAATGAAGACAGGCATTATGACACGCACTGCATCCCTACGATAGAGATAGAGCGAAGCATCAGACTTCAACCGACTGAAGCCCAGCTTCTCAAGTGTTGCATGCAGAGTCTTGTTTCATACTCGCGGCGCCTGCTTAAGCCCATAGAGAGCCTTGTGGAGGCAAAGGACGTCACCTGGATTGTCAAAGTGAAATCCATCTGGCTGCTCGATGTAGACCTTCTCCTCTAGCTCGCCATTGATAAAAGCGTTGGAGATGTCGAGTGAGTAAAGATCAAGGTCCTCGAGAGCAGCAAGGGCAAAGACAATGCGGATAGTTGCCATGTGCACAGTGGGAGCGAAAGTCTCGAGGTAGTCAAATCCAAGGCGCTGAGCATAGCCCTTGACCACCAGTTGCGTTTTGTAGCGATCGAGGTCGCCATTGGAAAGGAACTTCTGAACAAAGACCCAACACGAGCCAATGGCCTTGCCAGGAGGCAAAGTGCAAGGCTTCCAAGTGTGATTTGATTGGCAACAAGTGCATTAATCTCTACCTGAGCAGCTCTTTGCCACTTCTCTGCATTTGGACGCTTCATGGCCGCGTTCCAACTGTTAGGCCAAGTATTCTGCGCAGAGGTTGGCTTGAGGCACAGCTCATCAGTAAATGCTTCAGACGGAGCTTTCTGAAGGCCATCATTGTCCTCATCCGCAGTCTCTTTGTTAGAGATGGGATCCTGCACAGGCTGAGGCGGTGCAGAAGGCTGGACCTTCCACCACTCGCCAGGAGGCCTGACATTGCGCCTGGGACGACGCTCTGCCAGTGATGGTTCAGGGGACTCGATGCAATATCCAGAAGGTCTGGGTTGCTGTTGAAAACGAGCAGGTGGTGGCTGAGGCAATGGAGAGGAGGAGACAGAGGGCAAATTGGCTGGTGGAGCACGAGGATGGACTTGATGATTGTCTGCAGCGGCTGGACGCTCAGTAGGCTCGTGTTGAGCACCACTATGCATCTCCCCCCGAACACGAGGCTGAGGAGGATCCACAGAGCCGGAAGACAGACCAGAAGGCTAGTGGAACTCGACCTCATAGGTAGAAGCCAGCGGAGAAGACGACAAGAGCGGGTGGGCGCGGAAAGAAGGGGCATCTGACCAGTTCCTGAGGCCAGGGAGATATTGCTCGTCGAAAACAGCGCGTTCAGAGATGATAGCTGTCTTAGTGGACAGATTGTAGAACATCCAACCCTTGTAGCCAGGTGGATAGCCAATAAACACGCACTTCTCCATGTGAGAGCCCAATGCGCCGCGTTTATTCTTCTGCACATGCACATATGTCAGGCAGCCCCAGATGCGGAAATGTGACACATTTGGTTTCCAGCCATAGAAGGCCTCATAGGGTGTTTTACCAGGCAGCGCGGTGGTGGGGCAGCGGTTGAGAACGTGCACCAGTGAGGACAAGGCCTCTCCTCAGAACAACGGCGGTAAACCAGCCTCAGAGAGCATAGCAGTGATTTTCTCTGCAAGGACGCAATTAAACTGCTCAGCTACACCGTTCAGCCGCGGCCGATTGTGCACATTGTGCTGTCTTTCGATGCCGTGCTCGCGGCAGAACTCCTCAGGCTCCTTGCTCATGTACTTGCCACCTTTGTCGTCATGAAGTGCACCAATAAGGTGATCAAATAGCGGTAGCCAGACTGGGTGCGGACAGGGAGAGGGCCAGGGACGTCAGAATGAATGAGTGTGAGTGGTCTGGAGGCGCGATTGGTAGAGGATAGGAATGGAGCAGCATTAAGCTTGCCTGCAAGACATGGCTCACAGATGGGATTGGCCTCCTGCTTCGAGTCGAGCTTCATCCCAGTGACTAGGTTGCCTTTGGATAGATCTCGAATACTCTGATGGTGCGCATGAGCGAATCGACGGTGCCAGAGCGACTCATCGAGTGGTAGAGTGGACGAGTTGGCGACTTGAGCAGAATCCATAGCAGGGATGACTGTTCCATTGAGGTAGGCAGTGCTAGAGGCTCAGAACAGTGTCTCGTCATTGCGGTCAAATTCCATGCAATCAGAATAGATGTGAACATTGAAACTACGATGACGAACCAGATACAGGACAGAGAAGAGGTTGGAGCCGAGTCTGGTACATGCAGCACTCTACTGAACTCCAGCTCGTGCACTAGCTTCTCCTTAACCTCTGGAGCGAACACTACTGACTCTACACCCTCAGAATAGATGATGTGATCATTTGCACGACGAACAGTGACTCTCATTGGGGTGTAGTTGCGAAGGCAGTGTTTATGGGGTGTCATATGAGAAGTGGCCCCTGTGTCAGCAGTCTAGAGGAGGTGAGAGGCAGAGTCAAGAGTGGTAGAGTGGGCAGAGTGACACACAAAGGCTTGGCCAGCTGACTCGACAGAGTCTTCCTGAGCTGCTGCGGCAGTGGAGGACAATTTGGAGGCGTTTGAAGTGATAGGAGAGCTGGACTTGCCCTTGCCGCGTTGCTTCTTCTTCTCCTGCGCGTCCTTAGTTGCCTGGTCCTTCATGCATGCATAGCGAATGCACTGCACTTGAAGGTGACCTGGGAGCGAGTAGAAGTCGCACATACCGGTATTGACAGACTGAGACGTTGAAGCAGACAGGACAGCTGTTGTTCCTGGCGTGCTGGAGCGAGTGCGAAGGGCCTCCTCATCAATGAAGGCAGCTGGAGTGTGTCCTTGTCGAGTTTGTCGAGTAGCTG